AATATCAGTCCTCTTATATGGCAGTGAATGCTGGACAATCTATGGCAGTGAATGCTGGACAATCTCCTTCACAGATGAAAGAAGAGACTTGAAACAAAGAAAAGAGAAACAATGTAAATATGGCAGTGAACTGGACAACTCACAGATTAGACTTAATAAGAGAAACAAATCAGTCTGAACTGTTATATGGCAGTGAATGCAGTGAATGGACAATCTCCTCACAGATGAAGAAGAGACTTGAAGTAAGAGAAACAAAGAAAAGACTACTGAACTGTTATGTAATATCAGTCCCTCTTATATGGCAGTGAATGCTGGACAATCTCCTTCACAGATGAAGAAGAGACTTGAAGTAAGAGAAACAAAGAAAACAGTACTGAACTGTTATGTAATATAAGTCCTTCTATATGGCAGTGAATGCTGGACAATCTCTTCACAGATGAAGAAGAGACTTGAAGTAAGAGAAACAAAGAAACACTACTGAACTGTTATGTAATATCAGTCCTCTTATATGGCAGTGAATGCTGGACAATCTCTTCACAGATAAAGAAGAGACTTGAAGTAAGAGAAACAAAGAAAACAGTACTGAACTGTTACATAATATCAGTCCTCTATATGGCAGTGAATGCTGGACAATCTCTTCACAGATAAAGAAGAGACTTGAAGCAAGAGAAACAAAGAAAACACTACTGAACTGTTATGTAATATCAGTCCTCTTATATGGCAGTGAATGCTGGACAATCTCTTCACAGATAAAGAAGAGACTTGAAGTAAGAGAAACAAAGAAAAACACTACTGAACTGTTATGTAATATAAGTCCTCTTATATGGCAGTGAATGCTGGACAATCTCCTCACAGATGAAGAAGAGACTTGAAGTAAGAGAAACAAAGAAACACTACTGAACTGTTATGTAATATCAGTCCTCTTATATGGCAGTGAATGCTGGACAATCTCTTCACAGATAAAGAAGAGACTTGAAGTAAGAGAAACAAAGAAAACACTACTGAACTGTTATGTAATATCAGTCCTCTATATATGGCAGTGAATGCTGGACAATCTCCTCACAGATGAAGAAGAGACTTGAAGTAAGAGAAACAAAGAAAAGACTACTGAACTGTTATGTAATATCAGTCCTTCTATATGGCAGTGAATGCTGGACAATCTCTTCACAGATAAAGAAGAGACTTGAAGTAAGAGAAACAAAAGAAAAGAGTACTGAACTGTTATGTAATATCAGTCCTTCTATATGGCAGTGAATGCTGGACAATCTCCTCACAGATGAAGAATAGACTTGAAGTAAGAGAAACAAAGAAAATAGTACTGGACTGTTACATAATATCAGTCCTTCTATATGGCAGTGAATGCTGGACAATCTCCTCACAGATAAAGAAGAGACTTGAAGTAAGAGAAACAAAGAAAACACTACTGAACTGTTATGTAATATCAGTCCTTCTATATATGGCAGTGAATGCTGGACAACTCTATGTAATTCACAGATGAAGAAGAGACTTGAAGTAAGAGAAACAAAGAAAACACTACTGAACTGTTATGTAATATCAGTCCCTCTTATATGGCAGTGAATGCTGGACAATCTCTTCACAGATGAAGAAGAGACTTGAAGTAAGAGAAACAAAGAAAACAGTACTGAACTGTTTACTTATAATATCAGTCCTTGAAGTAAGAGAAACAAAGAAAACACTATATGGCAGTGAATGCTGGAGTGAATGCTGGACCTTTCACAGATGAAGAATAGACTTGAAGTAAGAGAAACAAAGAAAATAGTACTGGACTGTTACATAATATCAGTCCTTCTATATGGCAGTGAATGCTGGACAATCTCCTCACAGATGAAGAATAGACTTGAAGTAAGAGAAACAAAGAAAACACTACTGAACTGTTATTAATAATATCAGTCCTCCTATATGGCAGTGAATGCTGGACAATCTCCTCACAGATGAAGAATAGACTTGAAGTAAGAGAAACAAAGAAAAGAGTACTGAACTGTTATGTAATATCAGTCCTCTATATGGCAGTGAATGCTGGACAATCTCCTCACAGATGAAGAAGAGACTTGAAGTAAGAGAAACAAAGAAAACAGTACTGAACTGTTATGTAATATCAGTCCTTCTATATGGCAGTGAATGCTGGACAATCTCTTCACAGATGAAGAAGAGACTTGAAGTAAGAGAAACAAAGAAAACAGTACTGAACTGTTATGTAATATCAGTCCTTCTATATGGCAGTGAATGCTGGACAATCTCCTCACAGATGAAGAAGAGACTTGAAGTAAGAGAAACAAAGAAAAGACTACTGAACTGTTATGTAATATCAGTCCTTCTATATGGCAGTGAATGCTGGACAATCTCCTTCACAGATGAAGAATAGACTTGAAGTAAGAGAAACAAAAGAAATCAGTACTGAACTGTTATGTAATATCAGTCCTCTTATATGGCAGTGAATGCTGGACAATCTCTTTTCACAGATGAAGAAGAGACTTGAAAAGTAAGAGAAACAAAGGACAAAAAGAAGTACTGAACTGTTGTAATATCAGTCCTTATATGGCAGTGAATGCAGTGAATGGACAATCTCCTCACAGATAAAGAAGAGACTTGAAGTAAGAGAAACAAAGAAAAGAGTACTGAACTGTTACATAATATCAGTCCTCTCTATATGGCAGTGAATGCTGGACAATCTCTTCACAGATGAAGAAGAGACTTGAAGTAAGAGAAACAAAGAAAACACTACTGAACTGTTATGTAATATCAGTCCTCTTATATGGCAGTGAATGCTGGACAATCTCCTCACAGATGAAGAAGAGACTTGAAGTAAGAGAAACAAAGAAAAACACTACTGAACTGTTACATAATAATATCAGTCCTTCTATATGGCAGTGAATGCTGGACAATCTCAGTGAATCTGGACAGATGAAGAAGAGACTTGAAGTAAGAGAAACAAAGAAAAGAGTACTGGACTGTTACATAATATCAGTCCTTCTATATGGCAGTGAATGCTGGACAATCTCCTCACAGATGAAGAAGAGACTTGAAGTAAGAGAAACAAAGAAAAGAGTACTGAACTGTTATGTAATATCAGTCCTCTTATATGGCAGTGAATGCTGGACAATCTCTTCACAGATGAAGAAGAGACTTGAAGTAAGAGAAACAAAAAAAAAAGTCTACTGAACTGTTATGTAATATCAGTCCTTCTATATGGCAGTGAATGCTGGACAATCTCTTCACAGATAAAGAAGAGACTTGAAGTAAGAGAAACAAAGAAAAGAGTACTGAACTGTTATGTAATATCAGTCCTTCTATATGGCAGTGAATGCTGGACAATCTCCTCACAGATGAAGAATAGACTTGAAGTGGAAGAGAAACAAACAAAAAACAGTACTGAACTGTTATATAATATGGAGTCCTTCAGATATATGGCAGTGAATGCTGGACAATCTCCTCACAGATGAAGAATAGACTTGAAGTAAGAGAAACAAAGAAAACAGTACTGAACTGTTATGTAATATCAGTCCTCTTATATGGCAGTGAATGCTGGACAATCTCTTCACAGATGAAGAATAGACTTGAAGTAAGAGAAACAAAGAAAACACTACTGAACTGTTATGTAATATCAGTCCTTCTATATGGCAGTGAATGCTGGACAATCTTTTCACAGATGAAGAATAGACTTGAAACAAAGTAAGAGAAACAAAGAAAAGAGTACTTTTCACAGATGAAGAAGAGAACTGAACTGTTATGTAATATCAGTCCTTCTATATGGCAGTGAATGCTGGACAGTCTCTTCACAGATGAAGAATAGACTTGAAGTAAGAGAAACAAAGAAAACACTACTGAACTGTTATGTAATATCAGTCCTTCTTATATGGCAGTGAATGCTGGACAATCTCCTTCACAGATGAAGAAGAGACTTGAAGTAAGAGAAACAAAGAAAAGAGTACTGAACTGTTATGTAATATCAGTCCTCTTATATGGCAGTGAATGCTGGACAATCTCTTCACAGATGAAGAATAGACTTGAAGTAAGAGAAACAAAGAAAACAGTACTGAACTGTTATGTAATATCAGTCCTCTTATATGGCAGTGAATGCTGGACAATCTCTTCACAGATGAAGAATAGACTTGAAGTAAGAGAAACAAAGAAAAAGTACTACTGAACTGTTATGGCAGTAATATCAGTCCTTCTATATGGCAGTGAATGCTGGACAATCTCCTCACAGATGAAGAATAGACTTGAAGTAAGAGAAACAAAGAAAAGAGTACTGGCCTGTTACATAATATCAGTCCTTCTATATGGCAGTGAATGCTGGACAATCTCCTCACAGATGAAGAATAGACTTGAAGTAAGAGAAACAAAGAAAAGAGTACTGGACTGTTACATAATATCATTCCTCTTATATGGCATTGAATGCTAGAATTTGATACTCACAAGATATATTTTGAAGGCATTAGGGACCAAAAGGCAATGAATAACCTGCCTAGTGAGGTTGTGCAATTGTTTGGCAGCTCAGAGATTGGGAGAGAAAGTAAAAGGACAAACGTCACAAAGAGGCATAAAGAACAGGAAGTTGTGGAGTGCCATGATTGTCCATGCTCTGAAGGCACACAGCACATAAAAGACAAAGCAGAGCCCTCCAGTCAAGTACTAGAGAGAAGTAAAACTGTAAAGTAGTTTATCATTCGACCTACGATTATGTTACTTCCAGTGGAAAAATTAAAAAATGGTATTTTAAACATTTGCTGTCATAGATTTTACAAGTATAAAGCAGAACTGATAACAGTGAAGAATTTAAAAAGCTTTCTAAATATTGTAATATGCATTTACTTGCTGGAACTAATAACATTGATGCAAACATGACAAGTTGCATCAATAAAATCTTTACCAACTGAGCCTTGAGATTTACCTAAAGACTAAAGACAGCAAATAGGTATATATATATACATAGGCATACATATATGATTATAAAAACAAAAAAAGCTGGACTTGATCAGTTATGGGGACAGATTATCTCTTAAAAGAATAACCAGAAATGTGAGAGTTGTCATAGCAACAAGAGTAGTGGCAGTAGCATCGGTGGCAGCATTAATATTGACTTCTTGGAATTTCCAAAAGCAGGATAGCTGGACAGCATTTGGGGGAGGTGGCTGGGGAGAAAATGAGCATTGGGGAGAAGTGAAGGATGGAAAGAAGAAAAAGGGGAGACAAAGAGAAATAAATGAAAATTTAGGGACAAGAGAAAAAGAGAAATTGACAAGCAAATGAGTAAATAAAAAACTAATAGAAAGTGAAGGAGATAAAAAAGAAAAAAAATAAAGAGAGAAAGAATAAAAATAGAAATAGAAAAAGAAGAAAAATATTATACAAGAAAAAATGAAGAAATGAAAATGGAAAATGAGAGGAAATGAAAGAATAAAAGAGAAAGATAATAGAAAGGAAAACAAAGAGAAGGAATAAAAAAACAGAAAAAAGGAAGATAAAAATAAGGAAATAAAAAAAAGTGGTTCAGAAAAATGACACATGGAGAAGTAGAAAAGAAGATTTTTAAAAAGTAGAGATGAAAAGAAAGAAAAATGGAAGAAAACTACAGAGTGATAAAGAAAAAAGAAAAAAAATAGTGAAGAAAGTATAAGGAGGAAAAGAGAAATAGAGAGAATAAGTGAAGAGAGAGAGAGAGAAACAAAAGTGAAAAGAGAAAGAGACAAAAGAGAAATAGAGAGAAAAAAGAAAAGAGAAAGAGAATGAAAATGAAAAGAGAAAGTAAAAGAACAAATGAAAAGAAAAAGTAAAAATCAAAATGAAAATAAAAAGGGAAATGAAGAGAAAGCAAAAGATGAAATAAAAAAGAAAGACTAAATGAAAAGAGAATGAGAAATGAAAAAAGAAAGTAAAAACACAAAATGAAAAGAGAATTTAAAAGATAAAATGAAAAGAGAAAGAGAAATAAAAAGAGAAAGTAAAAGTCAAAATGAAAAGAGAAAGTAAAGACGAAATGAAAAGAGAAAGAGAAATAAAAAGAGAAAGTAAAAGACGAAATGAAAAGAGAAAGTAAAAGACAAAATGAAAGTAGAGAAATGAAGAGAAAGTAAAGACGAAATGAAAAGAGAAAGAGATATAAAAAGAGAAAGTAAAAGACGAAATGAAAAGAGAAAATAAAAGAGAATGAGAAAAGAAAACTGTAAAAGACAAAATTTAAAATAGATATCAAATTGAAATTAGATATGTAAAGAAATAGAAAAAATTAAAATAATAAAATAAAATCTGGAATTTAAAAGAGAGGCAGAGAAAGAAGAGGGTGATATGGAAAAGCAAAAACAGTAAGTGATGAAAAAGCAGAAAAATGGACATAAATTCTGAGGTAGTGAATAATGAGCAAGGGGAGAAGCATTTCAGTGGGAGAAGAAAAAAGAAAAATGGTAAAAAGTAAGCAAGAAATAAAGAGAGAAATGGCAAAATTTAGAAAAGATGACGACAATAATGAGGACAAGGGATAAAAAGCAGGAAATGATTGAGAAAATAATCAAAAAACAAAGAGAAAGTGAGAGAAAGAGAATAAAAGAAAATGAAGGCTGAGTAAAGGGAAAGAAAAAATGAAAAATAAAGAATTAAATTAAATCGGACGAATTAAAAAAGTAAGAAGTTGAAAATAAATAAGGAATGAAATGTGAAAACTTGGGAAAAAAATAAAAAAGAGAGAAGTAAAGAAAGTTAAAAACATTGAACTTAAAAAAGAAAGAAAGAAAAAGTAAAGAAAAAAGAGAGAGAGAGGCAAGAGAGAGTGAATGAAATGAAGGAAAAAATAAAGATTAATAAACATTTTATCTTTCTTTTCTTGACCTTTTATATCTAATCCATCTTTATATTCTATAGGGGAACAAATTCCTTAGGGAAATGGCTCAATGGTGCACCCACTGAACTGTAATCTGTAAGGTCCATGTTTCAAGTATTAATTCACAAAGATGAAGAAAAAAATGTACAAACCTTCAACTTCAAATAATTGGTATGGATAGATTTCAAATGGAAATAATAAAAGTAATTCCAACAAATATACTCGTAGATGATCAATATTTGATTAACAGATGATTTTATTTTTATGATGGGAATAAACACAGAAATAATAAGCACCAAATCTTTAACAAAATTTCCCTTTCTTATGTATTTCTTATAAATATTGATTTCCAGTAAGAAATATTGATTTTCTCTCTCCGTTATCTTAATCCTCTAATTAATACAGATATCAATAATGACATAGATTTGTGCTGTTTGAAATGGTGAGGATTGAAATGATAAAATCAAACTGCAGTTTATAAAAAGGGTAAAAGAAGACACGGCACCTAGCAACAGTTTCACATGAGGGAGAAAAGCACTTTATCAAATTAATACAAATATCAGCAGAAACCTTTTCAAAGTAGTTAAGATTGCTTGCTGAGTAATGAGCTTTTGAAGAGAAATAAAATTACAAAAACTATGTCTATTGTACAATGACTCAAGTCCTGTTGCAAGTCATATTTCTATGTATGCATCTTTTTAAGAAACAGGTTTTTCACTCTACTTGCCTACAAGATCAGAAACCTTCAGTTGTAATGTTACCAGTTGGATTATTTGAAACCTGTTTTAAATAATATATCGTTTGAGGTTCAAGTAAGATGAACTGTTTTGAATCATTCATATTTTCATTGAAATGCTAAGTATTATATGACCTAATGAATTATCTGCATATATAAAACATGATGAATTATCTACATATATAAAACATGATGAATTATCTACACATATAAAACATGATAAATTATCTACACATATAAAATATGATAAATTATCTACATATATAAAACATGATGAATTATCTACACATATAAAATAAGATAAATTATCTACACATATAAAATAAGATAAATTATCTATACATATAAAACATGATGAATTATCTATACATATAAAACATGAATTATCTACACATATAAAAAATGTAAAAATATCTACACATATAAAATATGATAAATTATCTACATATATAAAACATGATGAATTATCTACATATATAAAACATAATGAATTATCTACACATATAAAACATGATGAATTATCTACACATAAAAAACATGATGAATTATCTACACATATAAAATATGATAAATTATTTACACATATAAAACATGATGAATTATCTATACATATAAAACATGAATTATCTACATATATAAAACATGATGAATTATCTACACATATAAAACATGATAAATTATCTACACATATAAAATATGATAAATTATCTACATATATAAAACATGATGAATTATCTACACATATAAAACATAATGAATTATCTACACATATAAAACATGATGAATTATCTACACATATAAAACATGATGAATTATCTACATATATAAAACATGATGAATTATCTACACATATAAAACATGATGAATTATCTACACATATAAAATATGATAAATTATCTATACATATAAAACATGATGAATTATCTACATATATAAAACATAATGTGTGGCCAAATATAAATATTTTGTATGTAAGACTTTCTATAGCTCCAGAAAAGTCCACGATGTATAAATCGACAAGTTGCCCATGTTTACGTAGTGGACTATTCTAGTGACATAGTTGAAAGTTCTTCTTGATTGGACATAATAAGTTAATTTAGAAAATATTCTGAACATTAATTAATATAAAATAAATAATTAATTAAAATATTCTAATAAATAGGCATAATTTGTATTTCAATATTTGATCAAAATGAAGTTTAAAACTGGATTTTCTGATGTGGCTGATTGCCATTACAAATGGTTGGTGTTTCATTATTTTTTATAGTATATGAGTTTTGAAAGATGGTTATGGTGAGTTCATGCCTTAATGAGAATTCTCTAAATTTGTATCAAAGTCAGATGTTTTTAAAAATGTTATGTCAGTTCAGGATATTAGTAGTCATGGCTCTCCACAGATTTCCTTTCTTTATTATCCATGAATTGTCATGCATTCTTGGGAAAGATAGTGGAATGCTTTGCTGTTGCTTTCTCTGAGGATTTGAATTCCAAATTGTCTTTCTCCTAGACTTGCTGCCACTCAAAGAGCCTGGTCTATCCTGCTATTTAACCCATAGCTAGAGGATGAGGAAGAGATGGATTAATGACTTTAATGAAGGGCATTAGTGTGATAGCGAATACAACAGACCAGGACAGGGCTTGAACTCTGCTTGTTTTCTCTACTGATAACCATGTGCATGTCTAGCAAATGTAGAGAGCTCCATTAAAATTCTTAAATTTAAATGGAAATTTAAAAAGGCTTTTATTCCATGCATAACAACCATACGATCGAATTTCTTTTATTGAACTAAAAAAGAGTTATCAGGTAGTAACAAAGCCAGATTTAAAAAATCATATTGAATTTTGTTTAAGGTAGTGAAGGAAAGTGAGAAGAAAGGTCTAAACATCAACTACAAGAAGACAGAATGCATGGATGTTAGCAAAAGGATGAGCCCAAAATGCAAATTACCAAAATCAAACAAATAAAAACTTTAAATAAGTGTTTTAACAGAGGACAGAATGTGTGACACTGAAATCCAAAGACACATTGTGATAGCCAAAGATGCCTTCCAAAAGCTAAGCAAAGAAGTAAGAAACAGAAAAATTTTGGTAGAAACAAAGAAAAAATTACTGAACTGTTATGTGATATCTGTCTCCTGAAAGATGGAGAAGAGACTTGAAGCAACAGAAATGTGGTTCTACAGAAGGATGCTGAGGATACCATGGATAGAATATATAAACAATGATGAAGTTTTAGGAAAAATGGAAACAAAAAAAGACATTTATACCTAACATCAGGAAGAGACAGTTGAAATTTCTAGGGCACATAATGAGGAAAGAGGGCTTGGAAAATCTGATACTCACAGAACAGATTGAAAGCAACAGGGACAGGAAAACAATGTATAGCACATTTAGTGAGCTTGAGTAAATGGATGGCAGAACAAGGTTTAGGAGAGATAAAAACAAAATTTATTAAGAGCAGCAAAGACAGGAAATTGTGGAGAGCCATGATTGCTAACATCCTGAAGATACATGGCACATAGACAAAGATCTATTTGGACTGGTGTCCTATCTTGAGTAAATGGATGGCAGAACAAGCTTTAGGAGAGATAAAAAAAAAAAAAAAAATTTATTAAGAGCTGCGAAGACAAGAAATTGCGGAGAGCCATAATTGCCTACATCTTGAATGGACATGGCATATAAATAAGACATGCATACACAAATATGCATTCATTCATCTTTATCTGCATATGCATTTCATATCTGTTATACTGATATAAACTGTAAAATATTTTATTAAGACTTTTTACATGCAGACTATTGTCCTCATCTTTGTTGTTTTTATTATATTTCAGCTGTTGTGCATGCCCCCGGTCTTTCATCAAGTGTTGATCCAGGTAACTTAAAGGGACAACAGGCTAGTGGATTAAAGCATTGCTTTGTGAATTTGATGACATAGCGTCTGGGCCGGGCTGTGTGTTCTATAACTCTATAAGTGAGCAGGTCTAAAAGTAAAAACTAGACATGATGTACTTAGACATGGGCAGTGGAATGAGAATAGTCTGCTCTACTAGATTAAATAAAGTGTTATGTTCAGAATTCCCTGTAGGCCAGGGAGCACAATGGCCAAAATGTTGTGATAATAAGAATAAAAATGAGAACAATAGTCCACATGTAAATAGTGTAAATAATAACTCCTCATCCCAGACAGAAATGTTTCATCTTTGTTTTCAAAACAATTACCGTGTTTTGCTTTACTGACCAGTGAAACAAAACAAAGAAGTGTTTTAAAGAAGGATACAACAAAAAGACAATGTTTAGTTTTCTTTTATGACTTGGGCGATCATGGTTCTCCACAACTTCCTAACCTTCTTAGCACCAAATAATATTTGTCCTCTTACCAAACCCTGTTGTATCATCCATTTGCACAAAACTATTAGGTAAGTTACTCAATGTCTCCTTCTACCTACCTCTTGTTTCTTGCGAGTGTCAAATTATACAAGGCCTTTTTTGTTAAGTATCCCAGAAATATCCACTTTTTCTAATCATAGACACAAGTGTCCTTTTCATTCATTCATCTTTATCTGCATATGCATTTCATATCTGTTATACTGATATAAACTGTAAAATCTTTTATTAAGACTTAAGTGTCCTTTTCATTTCCATTTTCTTTAAAACTTTCTTATTGCACACATGCTCTGCCCAAGGTATTTTTTGTATTCTTTATTAGAACAGCATTTCTATTGCATCAAGTCTCCTCCTCATCTGTGACAAAATTGTCCAGCATTCACTGTCATATACCAGGATCGATATTACATAGCAGTTCAGCAAACTTTTCTTTGTTTCTAATGAAAATTTCCTGTCATCCGCTTTACATCTTACCTTTATGGCTTCTGAGTGCCTAATTTTCCAAACCCTCTGTAATAACAACTCGGAGGTATGATAAAACTTAAGAAAACTTTATTTAGCTTGAATGGGGATGTGTGACTAGACCTCTTATTTAAAGTATCTAAGTGAGGGAGAGTTTCTCTTTCAATGAGATAATCATCATCAAGAGAGTTAATTGCTGTTAACACCACACACTATACTCTATACCACACACTCTTCTACATATATTTGCCCGTGAATTTTCAACCTTCTCTTTTTGATATTAAACATGTCTTTTTTGTTACCATTTTTCCTAAAACTTTCTCACTGCTCACATATTCCATCCATGGTATTCTTAGCTTCCTCCTCTCGGACCAGATCAAGGTGGCTTCAAGTCTCCTCTTGA